TTCTTATGTTGCCTACAGAGGTAACAATTCAGAGGGCATTTAAAACAATGCACCAACTTTCTTGTGATTGCCACAGGTTTAACAAGACAAATCAAAATTACTTTAATGGACAGAACCTCTAAAATCTTGTCTATTTAGCACCAAAGACAGAATTTTCATTCATTATCAACTTGCTTGAACAGTTGACTCCAAGTACTGGCGAGCTATGAAATTGCAGGGAGCGACAGGAGAAACTGAATTTACACGAGACCTGTTGACACCTGCACTAGTTGTGCAAAGCCTTTGTAGTTTTCCGTTTATAGTGATTGAATCATAATTAATTGGTTCACGAACTGGTTCTGGTGTTTTTTTGTTTGTTTTGTTTTATTTTTTATTCTTGAGATGAGAAAGCATTTCTTCTACAAGTTAACTGATCCAAACAAACCAAGAAGTAATTGTTCCTTTTACACATTGTTTTTGATGTTTTTGAGCACCACATTTGATCTGGACTCTGCTGTAGAGTGCAAAACAACCTGACGCACCCCAAAACCAAAGTATGTAGTTTGGTTGGGTGTGCGGTTAATTTATTCATTTATATACAAGTGTATATATATTCAAGGGTACACATTTTTCAGATGTAGGCTACTTTTTGGTGAAATTACTTGTCTGGACTCTCTCAACTAGGTGTGGCATTTGACCAAAGTTTAATAACGAATAGAGGGGAGAGCAGACGGCAAGATGATAGTCTCTTAGCTGTGGGTGACAGAGTTTGGGTGAAGTGTGTTGGTGGTTGAGCAGGAATATCAACGTCTGTTTATTCTGCGAGACGAATGCATCCATGTTTCATGATAAAAAGCAACTTTCTTCAGAAAGGGTGGAGCTTTAGGCTGTCAAGCCCCCAATTTAAGGGGATTTTCTGCAGTGAGGCACGATAACTTAATGTTGTGCATTAGACATTAGATGCTCTTGCTAATATACCGCAGTCACAATTTTTTAAATAAATGCATGTATATTTGCAGCAATGAAATGCAAGTTTCTAGTCATCTATAAACACAAGGTAACATAAATACTGCATTATTATTATTATTATTATTATTATTATTATTATTATTATTATTGCTATTGTTGTTTTCTCCAGGATTCGTTCATTGCTACTTCAATCAACAGCTGCTGTTGCTTTCCTTATTTCAGCACCACGGACAGCGACATGCCTGTTTCCCTTCCAGGCCTTCCCCTTTAATATGCGTTCCTCCACCTCGAGTCGCTTCTTTAAATAATAACGATGAATGCGCTCAGCCTATACAATACAATATCATTTATTAAGCGGGACATGGATATAGGGATTCTTCTATTATTTTTTTTTTTTCCACAATGTACATTAAGTGAGCAAAGTCACTGAACATTAAAATCAGTCAAAGCTACGCAGATCCCGAAATGTAGAACACATAGTACTGTGAATATGTACTTCATAAATTAGATATCTTCTTTTCTTGTTTAAATTATTGTTATTGTTGTTAAATAAAAGGGTTTTAAGTCACCTCTTGAGGCTGAAATATGTCGCCTTTTTTTTCTTTTCTTTCTCCCTCTTTCTGTCTTATAATAAACTCATCGGCTGCCTACATTTTGGGTTATTTTTCAATATGTTCGGCATCCAAACGTAACACCATAGACACCACAACAAAAAAACGTAAAATGGGGAAACTTCCATTCGTGCAAAAAAAAAGGAAAAAAGAAAAAGGGAAAAAATAAGCCCCTCGGCGTGAAAGCGCTTCTCTCTTCCAGGTTGTCCATGATTCCGTAGATACTTCACCATAAATTCTTTAAGGCTATACAAACATAAATAAAGCATAACACAGTCAGTTTTTGTTCTCCTCATCCTCATCTTTCCTTTGTCCATGTTGCCCAAAAGTTTGTTTTCCAGGCAAGGAGGGGGGTGGGAGGGGGGAAATCCACACACTCGACAAGCACATGCCAGCCACTGGCCCGATCGAGACGTTTAGTCATCCAGATTGCGTAAAAGTTGATGGGTTTGAATATATGAAACTCCCAGGAAACGTTGATATTTGACTATAGTGTTGGATATTCGTCGTGTTGGATATTCGTCGGCTTCCTTGGCTGACAGTTTGAAAAATAAATGGCATGTTTTTGAATATATTTTGTTGCTGTTGTTGTTGTTCCTGTTCCTTAACTTAAGCAGAGTACCGATCCTCGACGGTGGGATTATAGAGGAAAGACTAGAAAGCCTGAGAAGGTGGAGTATTTCCATCCGCCCATGAGGGTACCCCGCTCCAGCTTTAGGTAGACCCGGTCGTCGCGTTCCACCATCAGCAGTACACCGTTGCTAGCCGCCTCTCTTGTAACGTCCTGGTCTCCCGCGAAAGCTGATATAACGGGATAGTCGTTTTGCATTAGATTGACCTGCAGAGGTGGAACAAAAAAAAAAAAAAAAAAAAAAAAAAAAAAAAAAAACACACACACACACACACACACACACACACACACACACACACACAGTGAGCTAAAAATTCCATGTTTCATATGTTGAATGAAAAGCTGCTACTTCATGCTTGCTCACCTGTATGGTTTGTCTGTTGTAGACCTTCACAACGTGGAAGCTGAAACTATAGATCCCCCTTCTTGGAGCCTGGAAAACACTCGCTTTTAGGTCGAAATGATTGCCGATGTTGACTAAAACCTGCGATCCGAGAGGGCGCACAGTGAGACGAAGCAGTTCGGTCAACACAACAGGTATTTGTAGACACATTTCGGTATTTGATATGCATGGAGGCGCGTGCCAAATGCTTAGGACAGTGTCCCGTTTTTGTGCAATAACAGGCCCCTGTCCAAAGACCCCAGTCGTGTGGATTTATTGGAACCACCGCTCAGCGCTGCACATCTGACATGTGATAAATTATTTAGCATGAATTGTTGCTCCTTTTTGGTATCCCGTCGTTAGATGTGCCAATTACGCATAACACTGGTCGAATCTTTTTTTTTTTTTTTTTTTTTTCTTATAGACGTCCCAAATGTTAGGATTGCAAAGTAAGGAAACACCAAAGAAACTCATTCCGAATACTACCTTTACACTTCTTATTTCCACACTAATCAGATAGATTACTGTTAAACTGAGGAAACACGTTTACCTGGTCAAAATAGATGGTCATTGACGTGTTGCTCATCTCCGACGGCTCATGATTGGTTCCGCGCACGGCGGAAAAAGCCACTTTCGCCCCTGCGGAGCGGACGGATATGCCAAGAGAGGAGGTCACCGCTCCGTCCGAGGAAGGGTTCGAGTCGCACACCACAAGACACTTTCCCTCCAGCACTATGGGCTCCGTGTCGTTCTGGCCGGAGCACAGGACCACGCCGCATCCCAAGAAGAGAGCCAGTGCCAGGACGGCACAGGTTCTCAGGCAGCGCGCTGGCACCATGGTTGGATCACTGGATCCAGGGTACAATGAGACAACCCCGGCAGCCCCTTGGAGGTTTATTGATCACCTGGTCCAGAGTCGGTCCCCCCCCACCCTTTTCCTCTCCCTTCCTTTCTCTCGTTCTCTGACTGCGATGCTCCCTCGCTCCTTGACACAGACGCACTTAGGCTCCCCTCCCTCCTGTGCGTCTTAGTAGATTTTGGGAGAGGATTTAAACGGTCGATTTTGCAAATCCTAATGATGTGGGAAGGGGTGGCGGGGGGGGAGTTGGAAATGTCACGTTAGAAAACAAAACAACTGAAAGTTTAAAGAATCTCTACTTGATTTATTGAGTAATTTCTTTGCGCGTAAAAAACGCTTTCGCGCGTAAAGTGAGCAGCAACTGCTGCTACTACATACAGCATTCGGTAAGAATGAATAATCATCTCACGGTCGTCTTTTCGATAATGTCAGCTATGTTAACAGTTTTGGGGCACTTTGTAAGTCATAAAAAAAAGACCCAAAATATGGTAATCTTGTATAAAACACATCAGAAGATGCCCTAAAATAAAAATAAAAAATAAAAATAAAAATCTCAATATTGCCTTACCTGTGCTCTCCATCCCGCTCTTGTGTTCACTGTCTTTCGCAGACAGAAGTGAGCGCTCAGATTGTTGGAGGAGAGAAAAAAAATGAAAGCACGATTCTCTGGGTACCCCTTTCGAGGGACAACTCACGCCCATTCTTCGTGTGTGAGCCGCTGGAAGCAAGACTCCTCTACAAGTGCCCCGCAAATAGGAGCACAGGCATGGGCTAATAGGTTTGTTTACATATTAATCAGCTCAACGCGTGAACTCGGGAGTCCCCTGAGGACCCCAAGGATTGCTTTCTTTTACTATCTATTATTAACGTGCGGTTTTTTTTTTTCTTACATGTGTCTGTATAATAATTAAGTTAAAATTAAGGAGTTTGCGGTGGATCGCCCTGGCGGTGCATGTCACATTCGGCATGCATCTCTGTGTTTTTAATCCAGGACTTCGATACTTTTAGTGGTCCAATTCAGATACTTGTGCGCCATCCTGTGGCTAAGTTTATTTGTGCAGAAAATGGTTCAGTTCAAGAAATAAATCATTAAAAACAAAGTTTCCTAAAACAAAACAAACACCTGTGTAAAACCTGCAAACTGAAAGTTTAGAAAACGACTTCGTATTCACACTGGTCAAGAATGATTTAATTGGTCAGCTGAAAGAAAGGGCCATCTCTGAAAATGTTCGCAGAGGCTGAGCTTCATCTGTCTGGTGAACCTTTAACCTTTTCCTTTCAATCCCTGAGACGTCACCATCATTTCAATAGCCATGTAAGGGCTTCATATCAGTGCTTCTTACAGTTGAATCGTACAACACTGGCCTTCGCAAGTGGCAAACCTTTACTTCAGACCTTTAATGAGCTGTCATTTTTCTATTTAAGGATATGCAAACTAGGTTGAGGCATGAGCATTTATTCAGGGAACTGTTTTCTTTAAGTTCTGTGCAATTGTGGAATGGAATAAACCAAGGCATGATGTTTTTTTTTCTTTTGTTTTTCTTTTACTAATGAACAAATAAGTCATGTTACACATGTTAATTCACATGTGATTTTCAATTGTGAAACTTGTGAGATTTTACGGTAAGGGTTTTATCTACATAAATATCTCTATGAGTGTAAACTTGCTAACACACCACAAAACCCTAAACTAGCCCCTCTTTGAGACAGGGTGGTGGGAGTATCTTGCTCTGATACTATTCTGGACAGGTTTTCCTTTAGTCATGACAAAGAAACAGGTCAAAGTTGATGGGAGGATGGATAGAGTTAAAGACAAGGCAATAATTGGAAAAAAAAAACTGCAAAATACTTGTGACAATGGTGATTATCCACCTTCTAGCTGGACAACAATCCCAAACAAACAGCCAGAGCTTCAATGAAATGATTTAGATGAAAGCATCGTTATGCGTTAGAATGGCCCAGTTCAAATCCTGACCTAAATCCAATTGAGAAGTTGTGACAGGTGCTGTGCTGTTTATAGCTGTTCTCCGTTCAATCAAACTGAGGTTGAGCTACTTTGCAAAGACAATTGAGGAAAAAGTGTAAGATTGTAGATCTTCAAAGTTGGTAGAGTTATATTCCAAAACACTTGCAGCTCTAACTGAAGCGAAGGGGATTTATACAAAGTACTCATGCTTTTTATATATGCAACACTGTATTGTATCATTTTTCTCCCATTTCACTATGTGCTACTTTGTCTTGGCCTATTCCATAAAGTCACAGGAAAAAGGCATTGGTTTATTAATTGTGACATGATAAAGTATTGACATCCTAAAAGGGTATATTTTTGCATACAGATGTATGTTTTACTTGAGGGTCAAACATGAGGTTAAAAATAATAATTGACATATGAACTTTCTGGGAATTCATTGACATAAATATGAATCTGTGACCTGTGAAACCAGATGTTCCCACACATCTGATGCACCCTGCTAAAAAATTAAAAAGATAAAGAAAAGAAACCTAATTTTAATCATGTTTAATATCTTTTCTCTTCCATCTGTACTGTTTGTCAAACATTGCTCTGTCAGAGCTTACTGGCAAATCATGCAGAAGGGTGACATCAGGTATCCACGAGCCACAACTGTCCCCGGGCCCTCCGAAGGACAGACGACTACAGAAAACATCAAATGTCAAGTACAGGGGACATGCACGGAAAAGGGATGTGGCCTACTTAATGTTACCATACCAGGGGCTGCTATTGCCCAGAAGGGACTTCGCTTCCATCAGGCAAGCTGATCGGCAAGACTGACAACATAGTTATGGTTATATTTACTGACAGCAAGCAAAGCCTACTGGCCTCCTTGAAAGGGGAGGACAGTTATGTGATGGGTCTTAAAATGAGCCATCTGCTTTAGTTATTTTATTATTTTATTTTTTTGCAATATGCTTTGCCTTGTATGTGTTCTTCTCTACGTCTGATTACATCAGCACAGCTCCGCTTCAGATTTGATAAAATGTGGAGCAATCTATGCTTTTCTTTATTTTGTTTTATGCTCTATACACCTCTATTTGCTAACTCTTATGAAAGTTATCTTTACATATAATGTAAGTAAAGCATACTAAAACTCCAAGCTGGCCCACTTTATGTTTCCACAACCACTTACAGTATCTGCCAGACCATTTGTCTCATTGCATCTGTGCAGATATTAATGATACTGTATGATTTTACTTGAAATGCGGTCTCAAAATTGAAGTAATGTTTAAATTCGAATAGAGAAATCTTATTTTCTGCAGTGTGAGATGCCACCTCTATCCTAAACTTGAGTGAAGAGACAAATGGATGTACCTGTTTTGGTTTTGAAATCTTACTCAAGTTTCAGGTTAAAACCCACCCATTGGTTCGATTCCCTTGGTGGTCAAAGGGCTTCTGTCAACCTGCCCCAGGGCGACTGTGGCTACAGTCCAGTAACTTGCTATTGACAGCGTGTGAATATGTGCATAAATGGTGATTAGACTGCCTTAAATAAAAGCAGAAATATATATGTTTTGTTTAGCCTTTTCCTTAAACGTGTTGTCATCAATATATCTTCTACATTTTCAACTTGCATTTTGTTTTTACATTTTCTTGTCTCTTCTTTATACTGTACAATGCCTGCCTTATTATGCAAATGAGGAGGGGCAGTGTCTTAAGGCAACTTCTGCCTATTGGTTGGTTGGCAAATCACTATACGATACTATCCTTTGCACCGGAAGTTTAGGTTCCCCTCTTCCCCTTTAAGAATCACGCTCTGTCATCACCATGGCAACGAGACGCGGGGAGTAAAACCTCTACGTATTGTTTTTTTTTTTTTACAGACAGATATAAATTCGGTGGAAAAAAAACAAAACGAGTTTTTGCTTTAGTAACAAACTTGTGTTGTAACGTGACTCGGTAGCTCTGTCTGTTCTAAAAAGTGGGGAAAACAAATGGCATCTTCAAAAGCGGTACCTTCCAGACTGCGAGCTGCGGCGACGTCCACTCAGAAGAACTTCGACAAGTAATGTCAGAACTCCATTTCTCCTTTGTATTATGTATTTTAGGGTTAACGCATGGCGCGCTCTAGAAAGAGAGAAAGTGTAAAAAGGTGAAAGCAAGACGATCAAAATGTTTTGGAATCATGCATGTCTCGTTTTCTATTTTGCAGACTACCATTTGAGATACTGGATAAAATTCTGTCATACCTGGATGCCTATGCACTTTTCAGCATGAGTCACACTAATAAGCTGTTCTATCAGCTTGCCAGTAATAAGTAAGTTTCATCCAGTGATAATTAATAAATTAGGTTTAATATGTTTTTTTTTTTTTTTTTTTTTTTCCCCAACTCAAAAGCAAATAATATTTTTGGATTCGTGTAAAATTTTGAACTCCTCAGACAAAAAAAAAAAAAAAAAAGAGTTTGGCTTATAATGCTGCATTAAGTGTTGCATTTTTGTTCATTGCTGTTTATATCACTGAATTATTGTGCATTGATATTTTCTGACAACACTTTTGTAAGTATAAAACAAGAGAGCATTTATACTCCCAGACCCAGACGTACATGTTGTTAAACTGTGACAGCAAGGCTGTATTTCCTTGTCAAATATAATTCACATTATTTTATGTAAGGCACATCAAAGAGAATGGTACTTGGCACGGTACATGGTGTAATACATCTGAATGTTGTTTTTTTTAAAAAATCCAAAACCGGTTCTAAACTAAAATGCAGATTTCAAGGAGTTGCAGTTACTGAAAGCTTAATGAGGGATTGAAAACCTAGTAATATAAAAGATTCCGTTTAAGATTGACAAAATGTAATATGTGAATGCATACATTAATGACCATTGTTCACACTAGAGATCATGTCTGTTTACTTTAAATATCAGTCTTTTCAGGTGTTTTTACCAACAATCTTCTGTTACTCTCAATTCTCTCCATGCAGTGTTCTGTGGAAGAAGCTGTACATTGCTGACATTTGCAACAATGAAAAGCAAAAAGCTAGGATCGTGAATGTCCAGCTTTTATCCAAGAAGACTAGGGACCACGCTGCGGGTTACTGGAAAGAGCTGCATGTCAAGACAGTAGCACATTGTGAGATGAAAAAATGGAAACGTCTTCTTGGACCCATCAACAGCCACACTGGTTTGCCGAGTCAAACAGAGCAAGTCCTCAGGTATTGTTAAAAACAGATAAACAACCACATTTTGGCGCCATCCACATGGAAGTAAGACTATGTGTATCGTGGAACATTTTTGTCATTTAGGCTGTCCCCCAAAGTGGATGATTTAAAAAAAATGGCAGTTTCATGTTTCAGTGTGTACATGCGAGTCGACTCGTCTTAAATGAAATCATGACGCGGTAGCTCCATTTTTCTGTGTAACCTGCATGCTCCTCCACTCTCACAAATCACACATATTGCACCGTTTGGTGGCATTCGGTGTTTTTTTGGTTATTCTTTGACAGTTAGAGCACCATCGATTAACTCGGCATACCAACTGCAGTGTTTTCTGTGGTGCTGCATCCCGTTTGGACGTACATTTTTTATTTTCATCATTTACGAAAATGTACTGGATTCGTTTCTGTGTGCACAGCACCTCAAAGGACATTATAAGTTACAAACCTGATATGTTATCTGTCTTTCGATTGAAATCGAATGTCACTTGAGTTGCATGATTAGTGATTTTTTTTTAAAGATCATTGAACTAATTGAGAACTCATAAAGTTCTCATTAAATAAAACCAACCAAATGAGCAATTTATTTTGGGATCACATGGATATACTTTGTATTTTACTTTATCTATATTGGCCCCTTTCAAGGTTTCTAATTCTTTTCCTCAACTTTAAGCTGAGCTGGATGGATTTTTTTTCCCCCCACCGTTATAAAAAAGGAGTAAAACTTTTTAAATTCAGCCTTTGCTGCTGAGATGGTTCAAGGGCAGACAGAAGAGACAATCTGCCTCCAATCCAAAACAGAGCGCGGTTTGCTTTTCATATTGTGCGCACTTAATGACATTTTCTTATTAAAGGTGAGAGAGGAGGTCTGTGTCTGAATGCGGTTTCTGCACAAAGGGGATACTGGCTCACAGGTGGAGGGGAGGGGGTGGAGCTCCTCCAGTTCCTCTACTGTGGGTTCTGGTGTGTTTTTATAACCTCTGATTAGAGGCTGTGCACCACTCAATTTTGAGTTGTGAAGCAGTTGTTGTGCTATAGAGGGGGGAAGTAGAAATAATTGTGTTCCTTGCAGAGTCTGTCGGAATTGTTGAAATAAATTACTTAGCCCCCTCAAACCCTCAGTGCCAACACACACATGCAGACACACACCTTGCCATCTCTTCCCCTCCTCCCCCTTCTTCATCCCACCAGCTGAGACAATTCCCTACAGGGGGTTTTGTCTGTTAGAGACACTGAGGAGCATGCGATTTACCTTGGTAATAATCATTTCACAAGACATCGCACACACAGACGACGCGGAGTGAAATCCCCTGGGTCATTCGGGGCCCTCCCGGGCTGCTCCAGTTTTTAAGCTTTGTTCCCTCACCTAATTGATATTGGTTCGTGCCTCAGCGAGAAGCTGGCTACATCACAGTGGGGGCAGTCGTGAATCACAGTTTAGACAGAATTGGATCAGGAGATTTATCACAACAGCTGCCGTTTCATTTCATTCGTTGCACATCATTTCATTAGTCAGAACAGCTTAAAAGGAGTCATGCAATTCTCTTGCACTGACATAAGAAACATTACAGCCGTCGGGGTTTACAATTTTGGTGATTAAAAAAAAAAAAAAAAAAGCAGCAGTCAGCTTTTGGCAAATCCTGCCCCTTTTTGTTTGCTCAATATTTAGATTAAGCTGCCTTTTCTTGTCAAACCTAGCTTTGAGAAATAGTAGCTGAACTCTCACATGCTAGCATGTCACTCCTCGGCTCCTATTGCTTTATTTCAACATTGTGCTATCCTCCTCTAGGAACTTGCGTGTCACCTGGGAGCTGACCGTCACTGATATGTCTGGACGTGAGAGTACATTGGAGCTGAGCTGGTCCCGCTTCTCTGAGACTTCACTGACACTGTGCTGGTGTGGCGGAGACCGCTTGCCCAACTACGAGGAGATTTTCAGCCTTCAACTGCACGGCGTCAGGAGGATTGCCTTCAGCTGCCCCAGCCTAAAGAAGTTAAGACAGCTACAGCATCCAGTTCAACCCTTTTCTCCCTCTTGTCCTCTCATCTCTTTGTGAAACCAGCTGTGCTCTATGCTTGTTCTGTCAGACACAGCAAGAGATCCCTGGTGGCAAACCTAGACATGCAGCCTCTAACTAAATGCGCGCAGGTCATTGGACGGGACCAATTCGTGCTGCTGAAGTTATTACAGCCTGGAATCATCATTGGTCTTTGGAGGGTAATACCTTCGCAGGCAGCTGTTTTCTTTCTTCATTATTATCCACTGATTATTGTAGCTAAAGCAGTGTGAGAGGTAATCATTCAGGTCAACGTGACTGATTTAGCAGGGAGAATTGCGAGATATGCATGAGATGACTCTTTCTGCAGGACGGGGGCTCTGTGGCGTTCATTATCTTCACTCTGCACTTCTACAAACTGGTGGAGAGAAGCACTCGTGGATCTCACGATTGGCAAGCTGCAACGCAGTCACACTTTTCCACTGCAATAGTTGCAATACCTTTTGAATATTGTATGTTACAACCAACACCTTCAATGTATATGAAAGAGCAAAAGTACAGCAAAATTGCAATTTGGAAAGAAAAAACACAAAGTATATATATATATATATATATATATATATAT